GAGTTTCTGTTGTACTCTCCCAAACGATTTCTGGTTAATCAAAACCCTTTTACTGTCATATATAGCGTTAGCCCTTTTGGAATATTCCCACAATAATTAGACATGCCATTATTTGCTCAGTATGATGAACTGACCAGCTTGTTGCAAAGAAGGGACCTTGGAGGCTTTTTTTTCCCCTGAAATTTAGACAAATAGACATTTTTAACTTATCACACTTCAAACAAGGAGTTTAAACACTCCTTGGGCTTTTTATTGTGCATACTGATCTCATCTACTTGCAAATTTGTTCAAAGGTGATTGCCGCGCAGGAGGTGCCTTCGTAACACATTGTTGACTGAAAAATCCCGAGTTCAGCTGTTAACCTGATATTTTTGCACCCCTCCTTGCTGTACAAGCTCTCTCTTCCTCCCAGGGTGTCGCGGTGAAAAGGCTGAACTAAGTACCCCCTACAATATTGGCTGAACTAAGTACCCCCTACATTAACAATTACCATCAAAATGTCTCCGAATCTCGAAACAAAATCAACTCCAAAACTGTAGAATGAAGGGAAAAATTCCAGTTAATACAGTTTTTTTACTGACTTCTGAAAAAGTATGCTGTAAGCATCAGCATAATAAAAATGACAAATTTTTGGAGCTAGAATGGCTTTAAAGAGCCACAGGTATTTGTAACAAAGAGGTAGGTGGGCAAGGCTACGTGTATTCGGTCTGAAGGAAGAGGCCAAGATGGCGCTTTTTATTTCTTTAGAGAGAAAATGGCAATACTCCTTGTTCCATGCTGCAGGAAGGCGGTAAGGGTTGCTTGTTATCACATGAGACGGTATCAAAAGGAAAAAGCGTTCTGAGTGGGAAGATGGGAGCACGATCATCAGAGCAGGAGATCTGAAATCTAAGGTGAAACCACATTTGTTGAGGAAGACACAAATAGACTGTCACACTGTTAACTAAAAAGCCCCATAGGAAATAGAGAAATCTACTTGAAAGAAAGAGGTCTGGAGGTTACGGACCGTATTTCTACACGTATGATCCTCATTAAGTCCACAGGAGCAGATCAGAGAAAGCTTTTCTCATCCCGCTGTTTCCAAAAAGCCGATTCCCTTACGCCCTTGGGAGCCAGCGCCATCTCATGTCCGCTAGCTGCAGATTCCTCCCTCCAGCCCCCTGGACTCGGCAGCATCCCCTGTTGAGGCTGCCAGCGCAGAGTCCCCGCGGGGGCCATCTGGGGACCGTCCGGTGTGTTCCTGCTTCCCTTTCCCCAGAAGTAGCAGGGAGAGATGCAGACCGATCCTCTCATTTTCAGAGTAACACCTCAGTACAACCTTGTTACTATAAGCTATAAAAATGAAGGGGGTGGGGGCGTGTTACTGGAGGTAGAGCTGCAGAAACAGCTGAGACACTGATGTCAGAGACTTTGTATAGCAGGTTCTTCTCTGGCCCAAAGAGTGTGTTTCAGAGGTTATGTATGTGTAATGTGTTGTCCTAAGTATTTCTGGAAGCTGCACTTGGCTGCTGCATTTAAAATCCTTTAAATTAAATTTCTCCACTGCCCTTTTCCATGCTCAGCAGGATGTTTAACTACTTTTCACTTTGCTTTGAAAATACTCGCCGCTATTCGGACGGCAATCTGCCTATTTACAGCGAACACTCTCTCATTTGCAGGAGGGAAATGCATGTATAGAATTTCT